TCAGGAGTGGGAGGAGATTCAGTGTCTTACCTGGGGCTTTCATGAACACAGTTGTTGGAGAGATTCCTTGTCTACCATAGGAAACACCATCAGTACGACTTTATTGGAGTCTCTAAATTTTATGGCGAAAGCTCATCTTTCCCTTTCTCTTTTTWATTTTTTTCTAAYTTGTTCTAATTAGTTATAAATGAAAGTAGAATGCATTTTGACACATCATACATAAATAGAGTATAACTTCTCATTCTTCTGGTTGTACCTGATGTAGAATCACACAGGTCATATAATCATGTACGTACCTAGGGTAATAATATCTGGTTCATTCTACTATCCTTCCTACTCATCTTTCCCTTGCTTCCCAGCCTTATAGAATCAGGTTTTGCTTCCTGCAGAGCCACTGGTTCTTCCGGTGTTTGTCAGGCAAGGAAGGGCCAGTGCAAGTTTAGAGCAAGGAAATGACATAATTAAAATGGTATTAGACATGGAATCGAACATTCAAACCCCTGTCTCTCTGGTCCCCCCAAGTCTGGCCTCAGCTAGTTAGGTCTTATCTCTTGCACCTCCCTTCTGTCTGCTTGGGCAGGCTGTATTACTCACATTTCCCAGTCTTCCTTGGCTTTTCTGTCCTCCAGCATTGGTCGCGTCATTTCCTCCACCTAGAAAGCCCTTTTCTTTCAATATGACAGTTATATATATTGTCTTCCTTGGTGGACTCACAGAGGCACACATACCCTTTTATCTGAAGTCATTTGTACTTTTTCTTTATAGTACAGGTTATATTGTATTATCACATTCCAGTTACATATTTGGCAGTAAATTCCTCAAAGATAGGCACATCATTAAAATGCTTTCTTTTATCGCCATTTTCCCTGCATCTCACACATTGTACAGAAATGAGTAGGTGCTTAGTAAATTGGCCTTTGTTTTAACTTTCCTCATGTTCTAAATTCTAATCCTGCTCTGAGTTGTCAGAAGTCTCTCAGGCAATGAGGTCCACATACACCTGACACATCAAATTTGCACCTCTATTCCTACCCCAGGTGGCTCAAAACACATGCTCATGCACATGTGTGCACAAGCACATACATTAAAACATCTTTTTTGAAATCAAGGTATGAAATAAGTGGAAGGATGGTAAAAGTCAGATAAAAAGAAAAATAAAGACTAACAGAAGAGAAGCTGAGATCCCTGCATTTTTGAGGAGCACTGCTGCAGAAGGGACTTTTTCCCCTCTATTTAAGCAGATAACTTACAAAGAAAACTCCTTGTTTTAAGCTCTTTATGCAGGTAAAGAAGACCAATTCAAGGTCCTCAAGTGAACTATGTAATGTTTTGAAGGACCAATAATAAAAAAAAAAAAGAAAAGTGAGCCAGATAAAGACAGTGGGGGTAGGTTAATCCGAAGGACACACACACGCACAAATGCATACACACACTTAACATACTCACACATCACATTTATCGTCCTTTCCCTGCATGACTGCAAAATAAATTCACAGAAAAGATTGAAGACAAGGCACAAAGAATGTTTTGATGCAGAAATTAATCAGCTGTATAATTAGAGAGCCAGTCTTGTAATAGTTTAAACATAAAGCAGCATGTGGGGATAATCATTAAACCTGTTAAGGAGACARAGTTGAGGTATTTGCCTTTTTGTMTCCCTGGGAGKTTAAAGTGATTTCCATTGTATTTTRGTTAATTTTCTCATATTCATTTGAATAGCTAATGTGTTACYTATACTTCATCTATTTAAGTATATATTTGAGAACACAGAGTAAAATCCAAATATCCAATAAGTTTTGGGAATAAAAATACATCTAAGATGTTTAAAAGGAGAAAGCAACATCTTTATTACCATTACACAATAATTGAATAGCAAGTTTAACTGAGCCTCCTGAACATTAAGATACAAAGGGAAGCATTGGTTTACAGAGTTCTCCTTAACAATGGCTGCAAATCCAATGTGAAAATGGATGAAGATATTTTTAAAAAATTTTTCTTAGTTGTAGATGGACACAATACCTTTATTTTATTTATTTATTTTTATGGTGCTGAGGATCAAACCCAGTGCCTCACATATGCCAGGCAAGCGCTCTACCACTAACCCACAACCCCAACTCGAAAGAATATATCTTTTTAACAGAGAAAAAATTTACCCCACTACTAAATTATAAAAGGAGTGCACAATGTGGAACTCAACTTATRTAGGACAAAGTACAATGTCATGGTCAATGTCATCAATAAGAAACAGTTCCACAGAAGAATGACTGTGGGTGGAGACCATTCTTTTGATGGCACTATTAGTGCTGTCTATCCCTGGGCAAAGAATGGTACTGACATTATCACATTTATCCATAAAGGAGTTTGGAGAATAGCAATTTGTTTCTCAATGAGGATAAGTAATRCACTCAAATGACTTGGCTGAGTTAGGTCCTTTGCCCAGCTCTGGTGATGGATTGGCAAGAAGAGAAGTCAAGGACAAAATTTAAAAACTGATGTGGGGATGATTTCTGTGACTARAGGACTGAGGGAGGAATTTCAGTGGAAATTTTAAGTGTGAGAAGTTTAATAGGCATCCAAGTGGGCAGTTGCCAGGAGCCTGGAATTCAGGCTAGAGGTAAAATTTGGGAGTAATCAACATACAGATAGTATTTAATGCTATGAGATGAGATCCCCAAGGGAGCAAGAATAGACAAGAGGTCCCAAGTTTGAACTCAGAACACTCCAATGAAACAAATGAAACTTATAAGAAGCAGTGTAGTAGGGCACCCTCCTTCCTATCCAGTGGATAGGAAGAAAACCATGGAAATGTATGACAGAAGTCAAGTAAAAGTGATTCCAGAAGGAGAAAGTGATTACTAATTGCTTGAGTAAGATGAAGACCAAGAAACAATCTTTTATTGTTGTATCTTTTATAGTTTGATTTCAACAAGAACAATTGTAGGGACATAGTAGAAACAAAGCCCAACTGATGTAAATTGGAAGACAGAAGTTGAAGACAGCTTTTCTTAACAATTTKTTAATGGAGTTTTGCTGTAATTGAACAGGAAAAAAAAGTGATAGGGGAAGTATGGGAGGAGGGGAGGCAAATGTCTGGCTGGAGGGGGAAGTGGACACAACAGAGTTTGTTTTTTGTTTTTTTTTTTTTTAAAGAGAGAGAGAGAGAGAGGATTTTAATATTTATTTTTTTAGTTTTTGGCGGACACAACATCTTTGTTTGTATGTGGTGCTGAGGATCGAACCCGGGCCGCACGCATGCCAGGCGAGCAGGCTACCGCTTGAGCCACATCCCCAGCCCCCAGAGTTTGTTTTTTAAGATGAGAAAAAATAACTCATTTAAGTTGATGAGGATGATCCAATGAAAGGGGAAAATTTATATGTGTAAGAGAATTACTGGATTCTTTAACCACTGAATTGATCCTTGTATATTTCTGTAGGGCAAAAACTCAGAAAAGTTAAAAAAAAATGTCCTATAAAATATCAAGCATTCTTGGGGCTGGGGTTGTGGCTCAGTGGTAGAGCGMTTGCCTAGCATGTGCGAGGCACTGGGTTCGATCCTCAGCACCACATAAAAATAAATATAATAAAGGCATTGTGTCCTTCTACAAATGAAAAAATATATTAAAGTATGCTTGTAGGTGAGGTACTTCATGAGATTATAAGCTGGGCTTTTACTTGCTTAGATGACAAGCATATGAAATAAGCTATTTGTTAAGTGAYTACTAAGTCTACTCACTGTGACAGGTACTTTGCATATAATATACAGAAGCTTATTAACTGGCCTGCAGCATTAGTTACCATTATTACCATGCTAGAAATTAAGAAATTGTTTCTGGGAGCTAAATGACCTAAATGCCACACTGTCCCAAGTTGAATAGTTAGTTAAATAGTTTGTTGTGTTTTCTTGCGGTTGTAAGTTCCTCTAAGGCTGTTGTCTTTCATCCCTGTAAYCCCAGAGACTGGCCCAGAATTTGGCAGCGAGTTGCATTCTCGCCTGCGGAGGTGGACCRTGGGCAGCTCTGGGTCCATTTTATTGCCTTCTGAGGACGCACTGCTGGAGGACGTTCACATTAGCGTTGTTTCCATTGGTTACTGCAGCTCAGAAAAATGTCAGAAAATATAGAAACTTTAAGAGAAACGACTGCAAGGCAATCAGTATGAATGAATTTTAAACTCTCCAGACTTCAGCCCTTGCCTGAGGTCGTTCGCCAGTCATTGCACAGCTGCTTTTCTGACGCATCAGGTAAACCTACCCGGGGGCCAAATGTCTAGAGGAGGTGTGGTCACCTGGAGTTTCCCCAGCAAAACTTCATCACCGGGTGAGGAAATCATCACTCCGGGACGTGTACTCTCCCGCCCTTCTTCCAGCTCATAAAGAAAGTCTGCCTCCAAAAGTCTGTACGACCTTGCGGTGAATTCGGCTTTGAAGGGTGGCGCCCAATGATGGGGCAGCAGTAAAAATCCCCGACAGCAAAGTACCCTGGAGCAGCGAGGGTACTCTACTACACTGCTGGATTCCTCGGTGCCTGCCGCTGTGCTTACGAAAGGGGGCCCGGGGCGCGGGACCCAGAGGCGCGGAGCCCACCAAGGCGGCCCAAGGGGGGGCACCAAGGCGTGGCGTGGCGCACCAACTCTGCCTTCCTGTCTCCTGTCGAGAGGACCTGGCTGCACCTCCGCGCCAGGTGAGGAGAGGGCTGCGGTCCGCCGCGATCAAGGAGCTGTGCTGGTTCTGTTCTCCCGAGCGGCTCTTTGGGGACAATGCCTCCCCCGCCGTAGAGTTGGTCGCTGCCGTTTGCGCAGCGGAGGGTTGGGGGCGGAGAGGAGGCAGTGGCCGCCTGGACCGAGGAGGGGCGCGCTGACTGCGCAGCGCGAGTCCGGAGTGGCTGGCTTGCGCACGGTGGTGACTGGAGTTGCATCCTGGCCAGGGCCGGGGCCGGGGCCGAGACTAGGGCCCGAGGGAGGGAGAAAGGGAGGGCGGGGGCAAGGGCCAGGCCACAGAGTGGCGGGGCCGGCAGAGAGCCGTAGCTCAGAAGAAAGATGAGACCGTGAGTAGGCGCCCAGGGCGCAGACTTTCTTTGCTTCTCTTGCAGTCAACAGGGACAAAAGCCCGGGCCAGGGTCGCCGGAGCCAGAGCTGTGCAACTTTAGGGTACTCGGAACCCCATTGTATAAGACTCTGGGGAACTGGGTGGACCTCCAGTTGAGGGAGTCGTGGAGAAGAGGTGAAGGCGATGATTCCAGAGTTATTGTAGGGAACAGGAGGGATTTAGGGGTGCCGGGGGCAACTTTTGCGGACAATTCTGGAATGTTGAAGAAGAGAGGGATGGTTCTTCTGGTTAGATCCTTTCGAGAGAGGGTCCGCAGCTGGATGGTGTGGGGAGTGGGATCAAAAGATCCCCCTCCCGTCTCCAAAGGTCTGGCTAGTTATGCTTGAGCCTCAGTCTTGAGTCTTTCCAACCGAGAGCCTCTGATACTAATTCGACTTTAGATCCCCCGAAAAGTTTTATGATGCAGCCGTCTCTGCTCCCCTTAGAGATAGCGAGACTGGAAACCTTAAGGTGCTTTTCAGTCCTCTGTTTCTCCAGCACCCTGTTCGGCGGGCAATAGTGAAATGTTTGTTGGTACATTTAATAACTTCGCACTAGCAATCATCACTTATTAAAGCGCTGAGGACCTGGCTAACTCCCGCCACCGCCAGGAAATTAAAAGGCTGACAGGCTGTCCCTCCCAGGGTTGGGGTTTCCTGTTTGAAAGAGCTTTGGACTGGGAACCTGCTTCCAGAGATTCCTCATTTACCTTTCATATGTAAAAGAAGGACTGACACTGTAGCTTTTTATGTGGATAATCTTGCGGGAGACTGGAAATCCTCTGGGCTAGCCTGGTCCTAAAGTCTTCCTTCTGATGTTCTTTGGAGTTGTAGGATGCTATGCTAGTCACAACCAGGTGCAGTTGGGAGGGGATGAGAAGAGGCATTAAAATGTGGAGGCTTGTTAGTGTAAATATTTGAGAGCCACATTTCCTTCATTATATGGATGTATAGATTCCAGATGGAGATTTTCAAGTATTGTAACTTTAAGCTTTCTAGTTTGGTTTAACCTGGGTGATTGAGATTTGTCTTSTGTCTGAATTCAGCTGGAAAACATCTGCACGAGGTTGGAAGTTTCAGAGGGTTAAACTTTTGCCCTTGGAGCACTTGAATTCTTGGATCCTGGTAGGATAGCAACAGAGTAGTTGGGTTTAGGATAAATAAACCTTTGGAGTAACCCACTATTTAAAAGAATAGTCATATGCCTGGTGTCGTTGCCCTCAATTGTGTAAATATTTGTTTGAATAAAGAGCTGAGGTTCTTTGAGAAGTAATGGTGGTGTCTATACATGGCTCCCTTTTCACATCCTCAACTTAGTGATTTAAAGGGCTTTTTCTTTATACATTTAATGTAGAAATTTAGACACTGTATATACATAAGAAGCTGCAAAATCTCCAAAACATCAATAACTGGTGTTAACTTTAATAGCACAGAGGAGTCAAGCTTTTGCTCTCAGTTAACTAATGTATCCTTCACCTTCTGGGACCCAAAGATTTGTAAGTCCCAGCCATTCTCACAGATGGAAAAATGAGATGTTTGGCTTAGAGTAGTCATCATTTCAATCAATTTGCAGGCTTTAGTCTGTTTCATGCAGCTGGCAGCTGCTGTTCTTTTGGGGCTAGATGAGCTGCAGGGGGTGTCTCTTCCATTCCTGTGTGAAGTGGGGGAAGGAAAGATACTTAGGAAATTGGGCTAAAAGCTTGCTAAATCCTATTTTCAAGAACTTTGGCCAAAGCTGACTGCTCCAGAAGTATTATTTGTGTGTGTGTGTGTGTGTGTGTGTGTGTGTGTGTGTATGTGTGTAAAGAAAAAACCAAAATGATTATACCAAACTCTGGCTTTTCACTATTTTTTATTTTGAAATCTGTAAGCAGGGTTAGTTTTGGAATGCATTGGAGAAGTTACTGTGGAAGATGTGATTACTTTTGAATGCTTTTAAAGAGTAGTTGATGTTATGGTTAGTTTACAGTGTAATCCAGGTTAGGGTATGCAAATTTTCAACTCTTAGGAAGGAGGCAGTTCTATGGATGACTTGGAAAGAGTGACTTTGTATGTTTTACAGGTGAAATGCACGTGGTTTATAATCTGTTAAGTATTGGTGTACTTTGTTAATTGTGTAAATGTTATCCATTTGGGGAAAAAAAAAAACCCTTCTAAAGGATGTGATTTTTCTTAAAGATGCTATGTGTTACAGCAGGGGTTTTTCTTGGGGAAGAGGGTTTGTCCCCCAGAGGATGCTGGATCAATGAATTTTTAGTTGTCATAGCTGGGAGCAGAGGAGTACTACTAACATCTAACAAATAGAGACCTTGGATGCTGCTAAACTTCCTGCCCAGAACACACAAAGAATCATCCTGCTCCAAACCCAGTACTAGAGTGTTGCCTCAGGGGCAGATGTTAACAAGATTAGGGTTCTTAATTTAATTTAGATCCTCAAGAAACTTATTTAAATTTAAGTGTAGGAGCTCAAYACAAGGAGATCATGTCAGAGAAGCCTTTTCTTTGCTAGATTCTTTGCCTTTGGCATTAAGGGTCTCAGTATACCATAAACATGGGAAAACTTGAGCTTATTGATGATTCTAAGTTGGGTTTAAATCACAGGAATTTGAAGTGTTAGAGCACAATGGAGCCTCAGAGATCACCAACTTCAGTCTTTTCATTTGATAGAAGAGGTGTCCAGAGATTAGTGACTGGCAATTAGGGGCATATTTCTAGGTACAATCCAGAATTATAAAATTTAAAATTCTGTCTTTGGGCAGATGGGAATTTAGAAAAAAAAAATGAACAAAAACTGGGCCTGACCCAGTTTGAGAGAATAAACTCTTAGTTGTAAGAAAATGAACTTACAGATGGGGGAGGGGTGGCACTAGCTTTGATAACTGTGAAGCATATGTTCGGGTGCATCAGCCCCAAGAAGGGGGTAATTCCACTGTGTGGCCTGTGACACTCCTGAAGCCTGCACCATCCTTTCCATGGCAAAGTGGGCAACAGATGGTTTCACAGACACGACAGATGCTGCTTTTGAATCCAGGTATAAAACAGGACATTTGAGATTTTCCACCCCTGCCTTCCTTATCCATTAGGAGCAGAGCACAAGAATGGTTAGGGTTGTCTTAGAAAGAAAAGTGAGAGAGGCCTCCTGAGTATGTACGAAAAAAATGATACCTGGCATCTATGAATATGGTCTGGGGCAATTGTAGGAAAAATTCATAAACTATGGGTGGGTATCTAAGATGAATTCAGTTGAACAGAGTTTGGATTAGGAATCTGAAGACAATTCAAGCTTGACTAGTTTTTGAATAAATAGGACAAAATAACTTCAGGGGTAAGAGGAATCTTACAAATTCTTTCTGTCTCACACTTTTGCCCCCAATCCACTAARTTGGCTAGATAGTGCCGAAACAAACCAAATAGCCTAACTCCTGGGCAACTGTACTTACTCTTACACAGGGTCTCCTCTTCCATCTGTGTCCCTAATGGGGAAGAAAATGATATAAATACAAAATTATTGCTAATTTCCTGGGAGAGACTGCTAAGTATGATATTCATGAATAGCTCTGTGTATGGAAAGGATTTACTTCAATAAGTTTTTTATTATCAGAAAGTTGTGCACATATGGTCTGATCAATTGCAAACATGTGTACTCTCACATTCAAGTTACTATTGGTTAGACATTAGGTCTTTGATTGGGGGTTCTAGTCTTGTATGCCAAGTAATTCTGCTATGGTTGTTATTTCATCGAATCCTCAAATCTGTGAGTTTCTGACAATTTAGGAGGGCTGTTAGTAAGCTTTTCCTGGGAGAGGTCAGAGCTCTGAATGATGCTGGGGGAGCTATCATTGTGACAACTGGTCAATGGGTACACTACAAAGCAAAGTGCCTGCAATGTATTTAAAAATAACTCCAGAGTGATGACTTCTTTAAGAGACCTGCCCCCTGCAGGTGCTGCACTAAAGAGGTTAGCAGCCTTTTTATTACCACCTTTCATCTGGCTATTCTTATTACTCTTTTTTTTTTTCCTGATGGTGAGAGAAGAGAGAGAATATTTTTTCAAAAAAAAATTATTGAAAATATTTTTGGAGATTTGATTAATGTGACTCTTGTCTTTAGAAAATAAATGGAATCAAAAGAGATAGTTCAGATTTTCAAATCATTTCAACATAAACATTTAGTAATCATCCCGGAGTCACCCAGAAATTTGACCTTTTAGGGATTAAATTTGCACACAGCTGTTTTTATGATATTGAGGGGTGTTTTTAGACATTGTTGAAAAGAAGCTTTGTGTTATAACTGCTTTAAAGGTAAGATTTTTAAAGCAGTGTGGCAGCTAGTGATAAATAAGAGAAACCCAAGAGTAAAAGTCATAGCTTGCTATATAAAGAAACAGATAAATAACATATAGGCTAACAGGCTAAGTTATGTGGAGAAGTCATTAGAGGTTTTTATATAACTGTTTGTTTAGTGCCTATAGCTTGACTTTATTAGATGCATTGCTTTTCTTTACAAAGTAAGAGGAAGAAAAGTTTGTGCACACCAGTATTTGATACTGTTACCTTAAGTAGGGTCACTCTTTTCTAAGATTTACTGTTAAACCTAGAGCTAGTGGAAACTAGTGTTGATGATCTTCTTAGACTGTTTTGTTTATACATTTCATGTGACTTCTCCAGATGGCAGTATGCCTGCGGAATTAACCTATGGAAAAAAGCTAAAGTTTGCAAGAGTTTTCCAAGATTCATTTCTTGACCACTTTACAGCTTACACGAATGCAGGTGAAGGCAAAGGAAAGCCAAATTGTGCATTCTTTTGACCAATTCAGTCTGAATAGTGCTTTATAGCCAAGGGATGCTCAGAGGGGACTGGGAAGTAATGTCTGGCTGCCACACTGCTTATGTCATTGCAGAAGTAGGTTTTCAGGAACAGCTTAAGATTTGTTAAGGAAATTTCAAGCCATGGGAAGGTA